AACATTTCTAACTCACACGCCTCGTGCACATTTCGCCTTGTGCTTCTACCATAGCGGATTTCTCTTGGCGCAGATTGAATTTTTTTGATTTACACGCCTTGGGCATATTTTGCCCCGCACCTCCGCCATGATAGCTTTCTTTTAATATGGGTTGAGTTTTCTTGACTAACACGTCTTATGCACATTTCACCCGATGCTTCTACCTTAGTAGATTTCTCTTAGCGCGGGTTGGGTTTTTCCAACCTACACGTCTCTAGCACATTTTACCCTATGGCTCTGTTATGATAGATTTCTCTTAGCATGAGTCGGGTTTTCTCGACTCATATGCCTCAAGCATATTTCTCCCTATGTTTCTGCCATAACGAATTTCTCTTGGCGCAAGTCAAGTTTTCCTCACTCACATGCCTCGATCATATTTCACTCTGCGCCTCCATCATGACAGATTTCTCTTGGCATAGATCGAGTTTTCTCGACTCACACGCCTCATGCACATTTCGCCCTATACTTTCTCCATAGCGAATTTTTCTTAGCACAGGTTAGGTTCGCATCTCTTCTAAGCATTAGTCCAGTTGTCGTAGTTGGATTCTTAGGGAGTCATCTACGAATCCACTGATTAGGTCTCAGATTCAGGTAGAGCAAAGCGGTGGTGCAGCGATGCATTTAATTCTACAATTGGAGAGCGGGGCACTCCCTCGATTGCCAGTTCCATAGGCTTTAGATGATCCTAAAATGTAGGCACTATGTTAGGCAAGGGGATCCCAACTAGCACCGGTGCTAATGGCGATTGAGGTATTGATCATGGTTGAGATGGTGGCATTGTTTGTTGGGCTAGCTGAAGTAAGAGCAGGGGGATAGCCTACATCATGCCCATTAGCATCCACACCTACTAGGTGAGGTTCAGGAATACCTTGATAGGGGCAAGTAGGTGGCTCGAGGTTGTCCTTCGCAAGCGAAAAGCTTGGGTCATTGAATAGACATTAGTATCGCACTTGTGTCGAAATGTCTGCATCCACATGAAGGAAGGATGATAGTTGCCCCCCTTAAGTAAAAGTGTTATGCATCCTTGTTGGAGCGTTTGTTGAGAGGCTTGATGGGCGGATGCTCCTACAATATCAAGCCCTCCTTCTAGTGCCAAAAATATTAGAAGAAATCATCATTAACATTTGACTCTGGTCCAAACCTAAGGGTGTATGAGTTTTTAAGGTAGTGATTAAGGTGGCTTTGAGGTGGAAGTGTCGAGCTCCCAAGGCGCCACCTACACTAAGACTAATGTCTAGGCAAAATTTCCTAATCTGATCGCTTTGATGCTAAGTTAGTGATCGAGGTCTCTTAGTGGGTGTAGGTTTTTCTTGAAAAGAGAGCCCCCTAGCATATCGTTCGAGATTAGCTTTTATACTTGGTCTTGGAGGGGACAATCTATAACAGCCCCAATGTCCTCATCTTGACTTTTATCCATGTGGGCGACAGAGAGGAGACATTCCCAAATAGCTAGCGTTGGACTTTTATCCATGCAAGCAAAAGGGTGGAGGGTGATATAGACTTTTTTCTTTCATGATAGCTTCCAAGTGGTACTTATGTATCAATGATATTTGGTTGTTAATATATTTTCTATCGGTATTAAATAATGCTTCATGGCCAAGTTTGACGTGGTCGAGGAATACTTCATAACTAAATTCAATTATATTATAGCCCATGGATGCTTTACGGTTAGATTCAATCGTGTTATTGTTGAGAAATATTGATGGGTAAGATTCCATTATGCACATCTTCTCATTGTGTAGGCCATGCATGTGGTTCGGTTTTGTTGCTTTATATTCTAGTTTGTATAGCAAGAAAGGGGTGGTTCAAGTTCGCCCGTGTGATTTATCGCTATCATTTTTGTTCTTTGTAGTCATAACTATCATGAGTTCCCTTGATTATGGTGATTGATCCGATTGATTTGATTTCTAACAATTTATGATAATGGTTGAACGACATGTCATCTTTTCATGGAGACCATGATCATGGTGATAAATCTTTAGTGCCGATTTATGAATGACATGCTACCTTTTCAATCAAACTGTTAAGCAAAAGAAGGGTCTAGTGGTGGAACATAAGTGTCACTCGACCAATTTGATAGGTTAGATTTTGATTATATGATATATCGAAACTTATATCCAACCTATTCAAACTCTTAAGCCTATCAAATTATTAGACGTGAGAAGATAATAGATTCAATATATGACTATACAAAAGCCTCTAATGTATGCCCGAGAAAAACGTTTATTGATGTTGAAGTTAGTGGAGTGATTCGATTTTTCTCGCAATATAGACTAATAGAATGGGTTGCAAAAATAAATATGGGTACATCATAAGATATTTTGATTTTAATTTAATAATAATAATAAGATAAAGTTCGAATTCGAAAGCACATAATCATTGCATTACTACAAAATCTTATCCCTAGATTAATCATAATTTTTATTTTAAGATTCGATCGATATTATTTCACTTACTAGTTTGATTGGGGAGTGATTTGACTATTCTCTTATTAGTAAATAAAACAGTAAAATCAAATAGTAAAAATATAAATAAAACAAAATAAATAATTTTATTGAATTTTTTTTATATTGATTAAAATTTTAAGAGTCAATTTATAGAGCCTAGATTTATCTTCGACGTTTACTAGGATATAGTTCAAGACACATGTCCTTTCATTATATTAAATTTTAAATTTAAATCAAACAACTTCTCGTCAAATCAATGATCAAAGAGGTACAAAGAAAAAAAAGAAGATATCCTATATCTTTTGTGGGATCCAAAATTATTGCAAGACGCATGCCCTCCCCATTCTTATTATTAGTTTCGTGGCACTCGTCATTCCCTTGATGTCGCCATGATAGCTTAACTGGTCCTACCACCACTGTGATGTTGCTGGACGTGCTTCTCCAATTAGATCTCCATGGTGGTGGTATCATTTGAGGCATATGATTACTGCATGGAGAAGGAGATGATTTGGTCGAGTGTTGTGTAGACATGGCATGAGAGACTACTGCTTGGCTGCTGCTGTCTTCCTCCTGCTTCCTTTGTCTCCGGTTGTCCCCCCAACATGTTCTCCTCCTCTCGTAATGCTCTTTGAGTGGAAGTCGGTGTATTATCGTCGACAGAAAGTGACGCCTTATCCGATTCACATCTCTCCGAAAACCTTTCCGAGACACGTCTCATGTGTTATGATTTGAGGAAATTAACTCTGCATGAAATCGAATTTATATCTTTTACGAGAATGATGTTGGTAGCTGCAAACTTGGAATGGTTAATCATTCTTTCTTTGAAGTCAATTTCGATCTAATTCACATTAACAATCACTCAGATGCAGAAGCATCACTGAGATGGAAGGGTTAAAAGAAAGGATGCACGACAAGAGGCCAAGTGATAGGACTTGAATGCATTTACCGTACAGTTTAGTTTGGTGCAGCGAGAGTGAGGATGGATGGTTGAAGAAGAGGCCATGTTCAGTTCATCATACTTGTTCCAGGTCATGAAATCTTATCTCCTTTAATCGGTCAATCCATCCATCCTTGCTTGTTTTCTTCCTTTTGGAACACTGCAGATATACATGTAATATTATCTGAAACTTGACCTCCATCAATCAATCCTGTTGGCTCTACCTGGATAGCTGCTGTGGCCTATGAACCACCACCATTGTGGTCTGCGAGGGAGGTGACGACGATGATGGGCTCTGACAGTGATCTTGGAGAGGTCATGTCTGCTCGCAGCGCTGCTTTGGCTCAGCACTTGCCCGTCATCGCTCGGGCCATGTGCCATGATTGACCACACAGGAGAGAGAGACAGCGATGTCCTCAATGCCTCGCTGCTTGCACTCATCACACCGACAAGATGGCGAGCGGGGAAGAAGGCATGTTGATACTTGGAGCAGAGAGCAGGTGGAAGCGAGGGGGACAGGGAGGCTTTGGCCGAGCAGGTAATCATTGCAAGGCTCGAAGGGATCTCCTTCTCCTCCTTCGATATCATACTGTACCACCGGATCACTGCATCCGGTCACACCGACAATAACAATAATAATAATATTATTATTATTATATAATATTAATAAATCTTTTATTTTATTTTATTTTCGACAAACTAATCGAACAAATTCTAAATTCCGATATAATTAATTATATGCATTATTATTATCGGATTAATATTGTAAATAATCTTTTTACTCAACATCTAAACACAAACAATTGGATGTATGGATACTCATGAAATGTTCCGTCGACTACGATGTAACAGCGGAGTTAACACCACTAACGGAAACATCGATGAAACATCATTCGGATAGATATTGGCTGTTCTCCAGTGAGTGCAAAGTCCGGCCGATGATGATGATGCTTAAAATGCATGAGCGATGTTATAATCATGTCGTTTCTTAACTTAATACATTATATACTATCCATTAAATTATTTACTGTACGTGTCGAGCAGCGGCGCCACCCACGCGAGGATCGGACGCTTGGGAGTGGTCGGCCTGATCGGACGGCCCATCACGAAATGCACGGTGACGATGGGTGCCCACGGTCGTCCTTTGACCCATCCTCACGTGACCGTGACGCGCGTGCCGTGGTTCAGACGCAACAGGGACCGCCGGCGGTGGGCCCGTCGCTGACGTCTTCAGAGTACAGCGATGGGCTGGCGCTGCGGGACCCAGCGGCGATCCGGATCATCTCGGGCGTCGGTTTCCCGCGCGGCCTTGTGCGGTCCGGTCACCGTCCCGGAGGGGAGATAATATTCAGTGGGCCCGAGCGCTCTATCAAGGGCAAATGGTTTGGAGGTTCGTCGGTCATTGGGCCCACCTAAACGGACGGCCAAGATGACGAAGGGTGAAAAGGTGTGGGGCCGAGTCGGCTGCCGTACCAAATGATTGCCATCCTGCGGCTGTCCCCGGCGAGGCGGACAGCTGTCATAGCTCCGCAGCAGGCCCTCGACCTTGTCGTCGGGCGATTCCCTCCCTCGGATGGAACACCATACACGTACCCCCCCCCCCCGATGCATCAATCAGATGAATCTCGACCCTCTGATCGTTATAAAGTGGTTTAGACATCGTAACCGGTTCATAGCCGATATAACGAGCGCATATGATAGATATATCTTGGGTTCAACAAAAGGTTCTACCTATCTATCATCCATATGGAGTGTCGCGTATCGTTGGCATCCTCATGTTCCTAAGAGAAACCCCCTTATTTAATTCCAGGTAGTGAATCGGAGAAGTCTTGAACACGTTACCATACTATATACCGGACAAGAGTCGATAATTAAACAATGGTAGAGAATTTTACGCATGCAAGCCATGCAACGGAGATATCATTGCCAAAGCAGCCATCATCGCCGTCGCCCACACCATATAGCAGTGGCAATCATAAGCTATCATTGTGTGCAAGTAGAATAGTAAATAGAATATAACTTTGTAATGATTGACTGATTAATTTAATAAATAATTTCTGACCAAGTTTAGATTAGTGATAATATATATATATACATCTAATCATATAAATCTACTCAATTATACTTATTTTTAATTGAAGCATCAATATAATTTAAATTTAAATTACTTTAATTTATTAAAAAATTGATTTAATTTTTTTTTTCTCTGATGTTAAATAATTTTTTTTCCCCTCTCCAAAAGGGCAAAATGAGGATTTGGCTTTCTCATAGAATTTTGGGATGTACATGATAGAGAGAAAGAAGCATGGAAACAATGATGATCAACATAATTAGTGTTGCCTGCGTCGGTTGCTGCCGTTGTTTTTTCTCTTGTTGCCGCATTCCTGTATGTGTGTGTTTGTGTGTGTCTGTGGTGTGGTTTCCCTTTCGTGGGTCACGTGTGTTTCGTCAACCTTTGGATTTTGTCGGTCAAACTGTAGCTTGCCCTCTGCCTCCTCTTTCCCCCTCCTCTGCGCCTATAAAGCCACTGCAGCAGAGCCTGCGAACGGTCCTTGCTTGCTTCTCTCTACTCTCTGTCTCTCTTTGGTCCAAGGCCGGGTGTGCTGCAGGGGTTGTGTAAGCGCTCTGGTTCAGGAGTGAGATGGAGCTTGGACTGAGACTAGGGGAGGCGCCGGAGAAGCGGGGAAGGGGACTGGGGTTGATGCTTGGGATGCGACTGGTGGTTGGGCGTGGCGGAAAGGACGAGGATGAGGAGCGAAGAGTGGAAGAAGAGGAAGAAGAGACGGAAGAGGGAAGGGGCTTGGCGGAGGCGCCGCTGCAGCTTAGCCTCCTTCCCCTCTTGCCTGTCCCTCCGCAGCAGCCTTCTTCCCCACAGCTCCGGTTACCATGGACGACGGAGACCAGTAAGAACCCTGATGAAAGTTAGGCTTTTTTGTGTTTGGAAGAAGCTATTTGGAGATGAAGTTTTGAAATCGATGAAGATTCCATATGCTGAATCCGCTGGTTTTTGTTTAGCAGAGAAGAAATCTATTTCGATTAGATTCTTTTTTTATCTTCAAGTTTTTTGAGGAGATTTAAGATGTGGAATTTGGGTTTTCTCCGATGAAAAATATGCATGCCATCGGGATTAAAGGAAGCGGTAAAAGAGCAATCTTGAACCCATTTGGAAGAGCATTTACAGCAGGGGTTCGTGAAGGATTCCGCTCCAAGTTTGAATCTTTGTATGTGTTTGTGTAGAAAATTTGGATGCCTCGATGCGGGGGTTCGATATGAATCATGCGCCATCGGCAGTGGCGGCGGACGAAGCGGCGTCGTCGTCGTCATCACCGAAGAGTATTCCGTCCTCCTTCCAGATGGACTTCTCTGCCCAAAGAGGCGGCGACGAGCCGGGTGGAGGAGGAGAAGCGACGACGGTGGAGATTGGGTCGTTGAGGGTGAGCGACGAAGAGGAGAACGGGCTGGGGAGGAAGAAGCTCCGACTCACCAAGGAGCAGTCCGCCTTCCTCGAGGAGAGCTTCAAGGAGCACAACACCCTCAACCCGGTGAGATCATCATCTTCACCCATATGCACAAATCCTAAATAATTAAAAAAAAGCGTCAAAAATCTCTAAAAATCATCTCAAGCCACCATAAAAATCAAGACTTTTGGTGCAATATTTCATCCTCTGTAACATATTTGCAGAAACAGAAGCTTGCTCTGGCCAAGCAGCTCAACCTGCGGCCACGACAGGTGGAGGTCTGGTTTCAGAACAGAAGAGCCAGGTACTCTTCTTCCTTCTTCATGCATTTTCGACATCTCGGCTCCTCTTCCACCGCAAAGATCGAACCTTCGTCTTCCTACACCCCCATGCTGGGTACCTTTACTCCTCTATACAAGCTCATCACAGCTCGAGCTAATAACAATAACAGGACAAAGCTGAAGCAGACGGAGGTGGACTGCGAGTACCTAAGGCGCTGCTGCCAGACGCTGACGGAGGAGAACCGCCGCCTCCAGAAGGAGGTAGCGGAGCTGCGGGCCCTCAAGACCTCCCGTCCTTTCTACATGCACGTCCCAGCTACCACCCTCTCCATGTGCCCCGCCTGCGAGCGCGTCGCTTCCACCACCACCATCCCCACCGCTCCGGCTACGCCCAGCGCAGACCACCGGCCAAACTCCTTCGCCGCCCTCTTCTCGAAACCCGTAGCCCTGCAGTCGGGCTCCCGTACTGCTCCTTCGGCGCCTCGCCTGCCGTCGCCGGCCTCCTGAGGGCTGTGGCTGGCCATTGATATCGTCCTTCTGGCAAATCTTTTTGAGCTTGAAGGGATTTTGTGGTTTCTCTTCATTATTTTTTTAGAGGAAGGAAAATTGATCTTAGTGACGAGTGTTGACAGATTCTGCATAATCTTAATTAGATATTGGTACAGTTTAATCAGCTCCAGATTCCTTTGGTAACTTTAGGCTTTAATGTCTATGGTTATCTTATTGTTCTGTCCATCTTTCGTCGGAACACATAAAGACGCTGTCACAGAGAAGTATGGACGATATAGTGAGGAGCAAGAAAGATCTGTTGCAGACATCATCAAACCAAACTCATCTTCGTACTTCTGCTGCTTGCTGATCCTGAACTCAACAAACTCCGCTGGTCTTCTTCTGTTCCACACGGCCCCTCCGGTGTCCGTAGATCTCCTGCTGCTGCGTCGTCTCTCCGACGCTCTTCCTGTAGACAACCACGCCCCCAGGTTTATCCTCAGCCTTGACCTCGGCGACTATTGCCGTCCGCGCCCACCGGCCGTCCAAATCCGCCACGGCCTTCCGGATGTCCGACACAAGCCGCTCGGCGAGGCTCCTGCTGAAGTCCTCCCTGATCACCACCCTGAGCACCGCCATATGTTCCGCGTCGGCCGGCATGGTGTACGCCGGGACGATCCATCCGAACCGCCTTAAGCTTTCCGACACGTCGAAGACGGTGTACCTGCTGCTGTCCCTGAGCGAGAATGCAACGAGCGGCACGCCGACGTCGCCGGATACCATCTCGAACCTTCCGGTCGCCTGGATGCCTTCCTTCAATGCCTTTGCATTCTCCATGCAGTTCTCCATGATGCTCCTGTAACCCTGCACGTCACTTGGTACATGAGATTGTCTCCACCTTTCCACCACGCCCATCATCAACCTTCATGACATAATGGGAAAGAAAGGCGAAGAGTAAGAAGACACCTCAAAGCCGAGGCGTATGAACTGGTAGTACTGTGCTATTATCTGACTTGAACCTGCACGCAGAGAGAAGATGAAGCAATTACCATAGCCAGAACTCGCTGCACTGGAAATCTCATTCAATACCTTTAGAGAAGTTGAGAGTGAAGGTGGGTTGGTCTGAGCCAAGATAGTTGACATGGAAGATGAGTTCTTCAGGCAGATCCTCTTTGTTCCTCCACACGATCCAACCTACGCCTGCATAAACCAATCCATATTTGTGGCCACTGACATTTATGCTCTTCACCAATGGCAACCTGAAATCCCACTCCAGATCTGGGTAGAGGAAAGGTGCCACGAATCCACCACTCGCAGCATCAACATGAATGGGGGTGCTCCATCTGCATGCCACAACCATGAAGTTTTTTCGTCGCACTTTGTGACCAGTGAGACCGAGTTCACTTACCCGGTTTCCCTGTTCTTCTCTGTCAGGAGGTGATTTAGAAGCTTAATGTCTTCAAACTCTCCGGTGAGAGTTGAACCCAAGATGGCAGCAACACAAATGGTGTTCTCATCAACCATTTCCACTGCCTTAACAGGGTCCATCACATAGAATCCCTCCCTCAACTTCACTTCTTTTAATTCCACTTCAAAGTACTTGGCAAATTTCTCCCAGCAAACCTGAAGACAATAATCATAAACGATGATATAGTTCGTCAAGATGAGCTATAAGGAATACTCGACCTGAACATTTGCACCGGTGACGATGTTGGGTTTGTCATGAGGCTTCCCCTCCGCCTTTCTTTCGTTCTGCCATTTCCTCTTGAATGCCAACCCTGCGAGCATGATAGCTTCGGAAGACCCCACAGTTCCAACTCCAACAGCAATTTCGTCTTCCCCAATTGGGGCATTGAAAAGGTGGGCTATCATATTCACGCAGCGATTCTGCAGACGATTCCACGGGTGGCAAATGAAGATTCCAAAGGAGCAGATGCAATCATGCGTCCAACACCCCGAATTAATCTCTTAAAAAAATAGAACGATTAAGATTGATTTATAGAGATTATAGTATTATTATTATTATTTTTAGTTTAAATATCTATCAAATCGGATGATGCCAATTAATATCAGATATCAGAGTCTTAGGTTGATATCTGTAGTTAGTCTCTGTCTTAAGACTCAAGAATGAATACTACTCGAATATAATCATCACCTGTAGCTCGGTGGTGACGGGGTACCCATCCATGTCGACGTAGTTCTTGTTGATGGCGGACATGATGAGGCGGTCGCACTCCGGCTCCATCCACGTCGTCACGAACGACGCCAGGTTCAGCCGCGGGTTCCCGTCCAGCATCAGCTCGTCGTTTATGATCTGGTACGCCGCCTCCTTCGGTATCGACTGCTCCGGCATCTTGAACCTGTTTCTCGACCGGCACCATCCTCACTCGAACTAAAGCACCACGTAAGACAGGAGGAAGGAAGCGAGGAAGGAGCATGACATGACCTGGGGAGCGAGGCACGGACGTATCTGGAGGCGAACGTGCAGTACAGCGGCTCGCCGGTGTCCACTCTGGTGGTGGTCACCACCATATTCCTCTCGCTCTTGTGACCACAACGTCCCTCTGTCTCCCTCCGTTGGTGCTCCGAATAGGGCACGAAGCGGAAGAGATGTCGCTGTATACCTCACGGTCGTCTTTATCGAGCGGTGACGAGGGTTGCTACGAGGCTGTCAGTTGGCTTTCGGGGCGGCGAGTGGAACCAAACGTGGTATGTCTCGTGGTGCGCTTACGTACGACGTCGACGCGTGGATGGGGTCAGGAGCGGCGGCTGTCGAGACGTGGAGGTGAACGGACCGCTTGGATGAGAACAATGTGACATGACAAGGGATAAGATAACTTCTCGAGTTCACGCAAATTAAGTGACTTCTTTTCCCTTCTTTTTTTTTCCGGTGAATGAAATTAAAAAATAATAATGTGATATTAAATTCATACATGAATCTAACGAACATAATTTTGTTTTGTAAAGACCTGAGTTTCTCTTTTTAAGTAATATTTTTATATTTTTTTATTTAATATTCTTATTTTCCTTTAATATCTAAAATACCTATTATCATAGTCCCTCTCGTGTGTTATTTTCGTCTCATCGCTTTCACCTCATCAACCCCATCACTTAGATCCTATCATGGACGTCTCCTTCCCTTCTATAAGATCTTGTCGCTTTAACCCTATCGTTTTTCTCCATCAGTAGCAATAAATTTATCAATCGAGTCATCGAAATAGAAGAAGGAAAAGAAAAAAAAAATTATTCATCATCAACAACAACGAAGATAGCGAGAGGTGAAGTAATGATAGAAGGGGTGATGAAAAAGGTGTTGCTATCGTATGTCTTTGGTTACACTATAGATGAATCATCCTTAATTTGATAATGATCATCTACAATAAATATTTGTATTGTCTCACGGTGAAATAGAGGTGACAGGTCTCATAATAAATAATGAATGAATGAAAAATAAAAAAAAGTAAAAATAGAGGTACCAAATGAAAAAACTAAAAATAAAATATATCACTCGAAAAAAATAAATTAATTAAAAAAACTCATATTTTGATAAAGAAGGGAGTATTTAGACGAGTTCAATACCACTATAATTATTTGTAACTCTTAAGTGTGTCAAATTTAGATATCGATAATATGGTCATAAACAATAATTCATTTAAAAGCTGAGTCTCACACATAAAGATATGAGTCTGATTTTCTACTCGATTCCCAACTTTTTTTCAGAAAAAAATATATATTAAATTAAAATTCTAATACAGCCTAATATCAATTCATTAGAACTCAAAACAGAAAGCAAGGTAGGAGGAGACTAATAAGACCTCCAGCAATTATTTACATGATTGTATTTGACAAAATTTGTTAATCAATGTACACATCCGATAGCTTCTCTATATGCATATAAATTTTTGTAAATTTATAAAGAAAAATCAGATTGATAAACTAACAATGTGGATCAAATATTTCATCACTATTTGAATTTTATTGAAGGAATGGAAGGTCTAATCCACATGATCAAATCTGTCCATGTCTCATCATGAATCCTTCGCATTCAAATAATAATGATGATGTAGAATTAATTTGATTTGATTTAGATTCACAGGTCCATATAATTGAGTGAGTGGCTCAAGTGTCTAATAAATAACTAATTGTTAGTGTAAACAACTTTGAGCCGTGGCCTTGGGCCGACGCGGCTTGGTTCGGATCCGGATGATGGGGATCTTCCCGGAACGGCCCTTTAGACCACTAAGGTGGCCTGTCGCGATGGTCCGATCGGAACAGGGTCATTGTCTCCTCCGAGAGTGAACACCTCGCTTGGACGTTCAGTGAGAGGCCTTCGTCTTCGCACCTGCACACAGGTCAGGTCGGGAGGCTCGACCCAACCCCTCCGACGATCAAGTTAATGAGTAGTCGCAGGGGGTTTCTTTTTTCCCTCCTCACTTTCTTCGGAGCGCGAGGGTTTTTATAGTGAGAGTTACCGTTGCCTGATGTACCTGCCTGCAGGGAGCAGGATCGTACCTCTAGTAACGTCTAACATCGACGTTGGCGTGGAGTGAGGGATCGAGCCTGAACAGGATGTTAATGTGCCTCGATCGACATTCCGGTCCGAATTGACCAGGTGCTATCAAGTCAACAGAGACGTAAGGTGTCATCTGGGGCAGCTAAAGTTACCCGAGTCTTATTGCCATTATTACCCTCGTCACTAATATACATAAAGATCAAGATTGAATGGTGCCCGAGAAAGTCCTTCTAATGCTTTGGTTAATTTGAGATAAAAAATAATAGTTTTGAGTAAACAGTAATTAATCTATAATAGTGGTTTGATGATCTTTAATGATATACCCGACAGTTTACTCCCCAAGACCACAACCTTGTACATAAACGGAAGATTAAGCCTTTTTAGATAACCTCTAATGAGATGTTAATGAAAAGATGGAAAGTTAATCTGCAATGCTACCTTTCCAAAAGAAGGAAGGGTTGAGGGCGAGAGAGAGAGAGAGAGAGAGAGATGAATGGAAAATTGTGGGTTCCAGTAAAAGGTCTCCGGGAGAGTGTTGTAAACATGGCTTCGCCGGCATAAAGGGTGCTGCTGCTTTGAAGCCTCCTCTATCACGCTTAGTCCTCATTTAGGACTTTGCGCAGCTTAAAGTTGCGGAGCGTCCGAAGAACCACCGCGAGGCAAAATGGCTTTTAGCCTCTCACACCCCAGTTTGGATCCTTCGGCCGAATCATTTGATCCTTCAGACGGGCATGTTGCAATCCTTCGTCCTCAGACACACCTCCAACACACCACCAGTACGTACGATCGAACACCTCAAACAGACGTCGAATGGAATGAGGTCACACGCATCACGATGCATGGAGACCACTATCACTGGCGGTCGCATGTCCTCTTTTCTCGACCGTGCGATCACGATCCTACGGTCGGACAGCGGCCAGGGCACGCAGGTACGCATTGAGAACGGAGAAAGGGAAAGCACGATGAAGGTCGTGATGTAGTATGCATTATTTAGTGGCAATTCGATGCTACTTTATGAACATTTCTAAGGCAAAATAAGCAACCAACTTGATCTCACTTTTGACACCTTAATCCTGCGTTCATTCCCAAATGCATTATTATATAAACATTCCACGACACATTCATTGAGGAGTAACATAATAAGCCTAGCTAGCAAGAAAAATAATAATAAGCCTAGCTAGATTTATTTCTTTCCAATTTAGATTTTGTCCTAATCTTAAGGGGGAGAGATAGTTTGTCTATCATTCTTTCACAACATTGGAGAAAGTAAAAGAAGAGAGAGAGAGAGATAGATATCAACAAAACGAATCACGAGAAAGAGCCGCAATGCACATCTTTTCCTTTGGTTGGTCGCTGTTTGAATACAGTGTCTTTCTTTTCCTTTTTACCTTCTCTCTTCCGGCCGCTGATTGAGTCCTTCTTTCTTCCAAAAGCCTCTTATATTTAACTCCTTCGGAGACAGCATTCGCAGGGTGAAACTGTGAGGAGAGCAGCAGCAGACTCGGTCTCGAGACATGATGGCCCTGGAAAACTATTTTCTATTCCCCTACCACTTCTCCTTGGATTGGGATCCACACACCTTTGCGGTTGGAGATCTCCATGAGCAACTCATGCCTTCGGGTAGCTGCAGCCGCGTCGCTCCTGCGCCTCTATTCTTTCTTCTTTGGGTTGTGCATGCAAACGTTGGCCTGAACCCTGCTATGTCTTTTGGTGATAGCTGTGGAGTCGCCGGTGTCATCGCAGGCCTCGACGGGTTACTTGCAGGACGCGGTGGCAAAGTGGAAGGATCCGAGCAAACAGAGACGCCTGGCTTTCCTGCCTGTTCATGATCCGTCACCGACGACGATGACGACGACGAACAAGGCAAAAGAGCTCCAAGATCTTCTTCAACTAGTACTACTCGAATTCTGGTGCTTACTGTAGAAATGTCACTGCCTACTAATTACTGATGTTGTTGATTACTTAGTCTTTGTCTGGCTATCTTTTTCCTCGTAGGGTTTTCGGGATACAGATTGTCATGGACATCCCTTGCGTGATTTGAACTGCATGCTGCAAGATAATGCAGTAAATCCAGGTAAGATTTTCCATTGCTTTTGTGAGTCTCTCATCCCACCGACTCTCTCTCTCTCTCTCTCTCCTGCATCACAAATCTGAAGCTGTCTCACAAACCCACTCAACACACCAACGACATTCTGGAGATATGTAGCTTAAAGAAGGTTTGGTCACTGTGTCCATTTCATGCGCATGGCCATTCGGGGTCCACTGTCTTTTTTTGCATGCCTCGCTTTGCCCCCACAGTGATAAAAGAGTGAGGGCAGACGTGCTTTTGTTTGGTTGTACATTATTTGGATTTGCTCGTTCATAAGCAAATCATCTTCTTTATCAGTTCAATCCCCTTCGAACGCGCTGCGGAAGCCCAAAACTCAGGTCGCTGCGCTGCAACTACTCCCAGTACAAGAGCCACTCGCCTCTTCCTCGTCCTATGAAGAGCCACAGCACATCAGAGAAGGAAACGGAAAGAAGCCTTGCCTCGTTGCCTCCAAAGTAAAAGAACGTGCTTTCCAAGGTAGTTCGTACGACGGCCAGCCACAATGCACTTTCCCTTTGTATTCGCAGACTCCTGATACTTGGGCTCATGGTAGATTGCGAGAGGAGGCGATTCAAGAAGAGCAAGGGCAAGACCGACGTCGTGTACCCCTTCGCCGTGGTGAAGCCCGGGGGCGAAGAGGGAGACGTGACGCTGGACGACATCAACGCAAGGATTCTGATGCGCCCGAGGCGACCGGTCCGCCACCCGGTGGGGGAGTACGCCGACGGCGCCTGTGTTACGCCGGTCGGGCGGGGCCTCTCAGGCAAGGCGGTGGTAAGCCTCACGAGGATCCAAACACAAGGGAGGGGCACAATAACGATCGTAAGGACAAGAGGATGAAGTCACTGCGGCCACTTGTGTCATGTGTACATGAAGGTTAACTGGTCTCGAACATGTAGTACAAGCACCGCTGCCCTAATTTAAGGCTCGCATCTTCACCTCTCATGCTCTGTTTCCTGGCTTAACATATCCTGT